GTGTATCTATGTGTGTGTGTCTCTCTGTATATCTCCCTGAGTGTCTCTCTGTGTGAGTGTCTATGTGTGTCTCCATGTGTGTGTGTCTCTGTGTGTGTGTGTGTCTCCCTGTGTATCTGTGTGTGTATCTATGTGTGTGTGTCTCTCTGTATATCTCCCTGAGTGTCTCTCTGTGTGAGTGTCTATGTGTGTCTCCATGTGTGTGTGTCTCTGTGTGTGTGTGTGTCTCCCTGTGTATCTGTGTGTGTATCTATGTGTGTGTGTCTCTCTGTATATCTCCCTGAGTGTCTCTGTGCGTGTGTGTCTGTGTGTGTCTCCATGTGCGTGTGTCTGTGTGTGTCTCTCTGTGTGTGTCTCTGTGTGTGTGTCTCCCTGTGTATCTGTGTGTGTGTGTCTGTATGTGTCTCTCTGTGTGTCTCCCTGAGTGTCTGTGTGTGTGTGTGTTTCTGTGCATGTGTGTCTATGTCTTTAAAAATTTCAGCCTGGGAGACTGGTGCTGTTTCTGTTTTGGGGTCACCTGTGAGCTTGGCTCCCAGGCGTTCCAGATGGAGGGGTGTTTGGACTCTCCCTGGCCCACACGATGCAGAAAGAGCCTCAGACTCAAGCTGCTGCCTCGGAGAGGGGACTCTGAGGGGTGGCCATGCTATTACAACGTGGGGACACGCATGTCTGAGGAGGAACCAGCATGAAGGATCAGAACCCCAGCCCAGCCCCTCCCCCCAGGTGGTTCCTCCGGCGAACAGTGCACCCGTGCAGCCGCAGCGCAGGAGGCCGGGGGCGAGCTGAGCGGCCCGGAGCCGAGACTGCCTCGCCTGGAGGAGGGCACGGCAGAGCCCCGCCTGGTTGCCATTCTACTGTCTTGTCCGTGGCAGACCAAAGCGGGCGGTTACCTACATGCGACAGGCTTACTGAGAGGCAGTTCGCCCAGTGGACGTTCACTGCTCAGGGTGTGTGTTCTGGCCTCTCAGCACATGTGCCCAGTGTGCGGCCGTGATCTGACGAATGGCAGAGCATTGCGTCATCACTCACCGTGAGGAGAGCCTGTGCCGGCAGCAGGCCCTGCCTCTGTGCCGATGGCTCTGCTGCTCTGGCTGTTCCTGGGCAGTGGGCCCTCACTCGCAGCCCCGTCCCTCCCACAGGCCCAGGTCCGGCTCCTTTGCTGCCTGATGTGTGTCGCCGTGTGCACGCCGCCTTTCCTGTCGCCCTCCGCTCACGGCGGCAGCGGTGTCTCCCTGTGGGCTGCTGCGTGTGATGCTGCACAGCTTTCTGCACCGTGTGGACCAGAGCAGATCCAGACACGTGTCAGTTTTGTGTGGCCACGGCTCCACTTCTCGGTGTGCTTCCGAGCAGCGTCTGACCGACAGAGACAGCGAACCGATGCTGGCAATGGCACTCCCCCTGGAGGGGCTGAGGGTTGGGGGGTGTAAGGGCCCCTTCCTCTCAGATCCCAGTGAGTCAGGGCAGCACGTGAGCTGTGTGTCGCCTTTCGGAAGGGTTTCAGGTGTGCAGGGGCGGGAGCCTGCCCTGCAGCTGTGGTCATGCTGCAGTTGGGGGTCCGTCAGGACACTCCTGATTGTCCACTCACTTGTAGTCCCCACTGCACATGCACACGCACATGCACACCTGGGCCTGCAGCGTGTCTGCAGCGGGGGACTTGCCTGTCACAGCGCGGGCACGGGCACTTCCCGCAGGCCGCCTTCCTCACTCCCTTAGGGCCGGGCCGCGGGACCACAGGCACGGTGCAGGCTTCAGCACCCCATCCGCCAGCCAGCTCCCGGTGCAGACCCGGGTGCTGGGAGGGACCTGTGTGAGAGCCTTGGGTGGTCAGGACCAGACAGCGAGTACGGAGAGCCCTGGCAGACGCCCAGCTGGTGAGCACGTGTCACGTTCTGGTTGGCGTTCTGTGACGTCACCTGGACAGATCCTGCCGTTCCTTTCAGCTGGGAGATCGCAGCTCCTCTCAGGGCAGCGGGTCGTCAGGAAGTAACAGACGGCCAATCCCTGCTGGTGATTTCTGTACGCTCGGGGCGCTAGGTGTGAGCAGGGCGCTAGGTGTGAGCAGGGCGCTAGGTGTGAGCAGGGTGCTAGCAGGGCGCTAGGTGTGAGCAGGGTGCTAGCAGGGTGCTAGGGGTGAGCAGGGCGCTAGGTGTGAGCAGGGTGCTAGGTGTGAACAGGGTGCTAGCAGGGTGCTAGGTGTGAGCAGGGTGCTAGCAGGGCGCTAGGTGTGAGCAGGGAGCTAGGTGTGAGCAGGGCTCTAGGTGTGAGCAGGGTGCTAGGTGTGAGCAGGGCGCTAGGTGCTAGCAGGGCGCTAGGTGTGAGCAGGGCGCTAGGTGTGAGCAGGGTGCTAGGTGTGAGCAGGGTGCTAGGTGTGAGCAGGGCGCTAGGTGTGAGCAGGGTGCTAGCTTTCTGGCTGCTTGTTGTGTTTTTGGAGAGAGGACCCAGTGTGGAGGAGACGGAGGGATGTGACAGGGTCGGCAAGGTGCAGGGTAGAGACAGGCCTGTGTGGACCTAAAGGGAGAGGCAGTGAGAACGCGGGTGGGGTGGGGAGGTCTGGAGTGGGAATCAGGAGCTGGCCTGCGTCTTCTGAGTGTGGAGCCGTCCTGCATCTGTGCTGGGAGCACCCGCCTGTCCCTGGTGTTTTCAGTGAGACGCGGAGAGCTGCACCTTTCCCCAGGTGGCCTGGCCCTGCTCTGTCCACGGGCCTCCTGTCTGTGCGTCCGGAACTGGTGGTGTGCACTTCCAATGGGGCTCCCTCTGAGACCCTCCCGTTGGGATTGGGGCCTCACTTCACCTCCTCTGGCCATCCCGGCTCTGGGGTCCCCACTAGGATCCGGGCGAGCTCTCGGCTGGAGCCGCAGCTGCAGGGGAGCTGGGGGCTGGCTGTGCAGGTGGGGGATGGCTGTATAGGTGAGGGCTGGCTGTGCAGGAGGGGGCTGACTGAATAGGTGAGGGCTGGCTGTACAGGTGGGGGCTGACTGTATAGGTGAGGGCTGGCTGTACAGGTGGGGGCTGACTGTATAGGTGAGGGCTGGCTGTGCAGGAGGGGGATGGCTGTATAGGTGAGGGCTGGCTGTGCAGGAGGGGACTGACTGTACAGGTGGGGGATGGCTGTATAGGTGAGGGCTGGCTATACAGGAGGGGGCTGACTGTACAGGTGAGGGCTGGCTGTGCAGGACGGGGCTGACTGTATAGGTGAAGGCTGGCTGTGCAGGAGGGGGCTGACTGTATAGGTGAGGGCTGGCTGTACAGGAGGGGACTGACTGTATAGGTGAGGGCTGGCTGTGCAGGAGGGGGCTGACTGTATAGGTAAGGGCTGGCTGTACAGGGGGGGCTGACTGTATAGGTGAGGGCTGGCTGTACAGGAGGGGACTGATTGTATAGGTGGGGGCTGGCTGTATAGGAGGGGACTGACTGTATAAGTGAGGGCTGGCTGTGCAGGAGGGGACTGACTGTATAGGTGGGGGCTGGCTGTACAGGAGGGGACTGACTGTATAAGTGAGGGCTGACAGTGCAGGTGGGGGATGGCTGTGCAGGAGGAGACTGACTGTATAGGTGAGGACTGACGGTGCAGGTGGGGGATGGCTGTATAGGTGGGGACTGGCTGTACAGGAGGGGGCTGACTGTATAGGTGAGGGCTGACGGTGCAGGTGGGGGATGGCTGTATAGGTGAGGACTGGCTGTGCAGGTGGGGGATGGCTGTACTGGTGGATGGCTAGCCATGGTGGGTGGACATGCACTCATTCTGGGAGGAATCCAGTAGGTGTGCAGCATGGCCAGTCAGGGATGGTCACACATGTGTTTGGCCATGTTCCTACCGGGAGGGAGGACCTTTCCTGGACGCCGCATGTAACATGACCTTGCTGGGTCCTGAGGTCCTGGCACTCACGTGCCGGGTGAGGGAACAGGAGGGGAAGGCCGGTTGCCCAGCTAGTCCTGACCACTCCGGATTCGGGGAGGACCGGCAGGCGAGCGTCCAGGAGCAGGGTGCAGGTGCCTGGCGGGAAGGCCTTTGAGGTCACGCAGTCATGAGCCCAGACTTGTCCTTCCTGGCTGTGCCGGCCACTGACGTGTTGACACACTGCGGGGCCTTGGCAGAGCTCCGTGGGCAGTGCCAGCACAGGCCGATCTGACTGCACTGAGACCTGGGCTTTGTGTGCCGGAGAGGTGGCCAGCTGCTCATTCCCGCAGACCCAGTGTGCTCACTGCTCCCCACGCCCGCCCGGCCCTGCACCATGCGTCAGCACAGCGGTGGGCAGTGCCGGGAAGCCTTTTGCCGAGTTAGGATTTGAACCCTGCTCGCCAGGGCCAGCCGGAGCTCCACATGCAGGGAGAACCACGGCTCCCGTAGCTACAGGAAACGCCTCGGGGCTGCAGGGGCTGGGTTACTCCGGCCGAGCTCAGAGGCCGGTGCGGGAGCACAGCCCGGGCCACCAGGCGTGCAGCCCGCGGGGTGCCCGTTGTGCCAGGCACCTCGTGCACCTGCGTGTCTGTCTGTCACACAGCGCTGTGCGTAGGTGGGCCCGGGGACCCTGTTCTCCTCACATACTCCTGGCTGCTTGAGCAGTGCCCAGTGAGGGCTTGTTCCGATATCAAACCCAGCCTGGACAATCGGTGAAAATCTTAATACACATTAGTCCATTCCGTCCCTCCAGCTACTCCCCGGGCTCAGGGGTCTGCCTTCACTGGGAAAACCCGCCCTTCCTTCCTTTTGCTGCTGTGGAGGCTTTAATGTGTGCGGCACGTCTGTGAGGGAGACACCGCCTTCCTGGCGCGGTCCCAGCTCTCGGGTGAGGAGGCCACGGCCACACCCACTCATCGCGGGGCGAAGGGGGAACAAGGAAGCAGGAATGTGTTCATTTCCTTTTCTGCGTGTAGCCGGACCAGGTGTCCCTTTGACCCCTGTGAAATGGGGAGCTGATGGGGCCACCGCCCCAGGCCCGCCTGCAGCTCACAGGCTGTGCCGGGCGCTCACACCTTCTCACCTCCCTCTCTCCCCACAGTACGTCGGGAGCCTGGACGTGCCGAGGCCCAACAGCAGAGTGGAGATCGTGGCAGCCATGCGCCGGATCCGGGTGAGCACGCGGTGCGGCGGACGGTGGCGGGAGGTGGGTCCCGCCCAAAGGCAGAGCCCGCCCGGTCAGGGTCAGGGTCAGGGTCAGGGTGCCGGGGTCAGGACCTTGCCCCTCCAAGTTGGGGGCTGACCTTGGTCAGGCCAAGGCTGGGATGGTGGGGGGCTGCGGGGCTGCCACCTCCTGTCTCCGACCTGCTGCTTCCAAGTCGAGACCCGCCCCTGAGGTGGCTCCGAACGGTGGAAACAGCCCTTTACCGTGGCAGCATGGAAAATAAGGTTTACTTGGAATTTTCAGAACAAATATGGGATTTCAACAAAACATCCTTGTCGGGTGCTGTGGGCTCCGGAGTGTGTGTCCTCCGCCGCGGGTCTGGAGCCGGGACCGCTCAGCAGCGCGGGACGGGAGGAGGGTCCCGCGGAGGGCCAGGCCACTCGCAGGAGCGGAGGCCAGGCTGTGGTGTCATGGCAGGTGGGGTTGGCCGGCGAATCACGTGACTCTTTGGCGTGGGCGGCCCTGTCCCGGACGCAGCCCGGTGGGCTCTGCCTTCGGCGGGACCCGCCCCCGCCACCCGTCCGCCGTGTGGCTGCAGCCAGGAGCTCCGACCGGGCCCTGCTCCCGGGGCCTGTGAGCAGCTGGTGGAATTAGAGCGAGAGTTAAGGGGCATCGCTGTCAGCTGCCCCCGCAGCGTGGGCTCTGGGTGCCGTCCGCCGCCGCGCCGCCGCCCCGGCCCTCCTTCCCCTCGGAGGCCGTCGGCGAGCTCGCCGCGGGGAAGCAGGCCTGGTTCTGGGGAGGGACCGCTCCGGGCTCGTCCGCTCCGGCTGAGCGGCTCAAGGCCCCGGCTGGACGGGACAGGGCGGTTTGGGCTGCTGGCGCTCTTGTGGACTCACAGGCCCCACCCGCCGGGGGGTGGCCGTGCCCCAGCACAGAGGTTGGGACAGGGGTCCCAGGGCCCTGCCTGCCCTGTAGTGCCACCTCCCTGACCCCGCCTGCCCTCGGCGCTGGGCTCCCACAGCGCGGCCCTGCCTGCCAGCTCACACTGCGGGTCCACATGGCGCTAACGGCGCAGCCGTGGGCACCACCACGTTCCCCCGCCCGCGTCGGTGTTTCCCACAGCGGGTCCAGCCGTCCTGCAGCTCGGGGCGCTCCAGGCTCCGGGCTCTGACCGAATTTCACACGCGTGTGTTTGCCTTGGGCCCAGGGCAGGGAGCCTGTTCCGCCCGCGGGAAAGGCCTCTGCCGAGCTGCCCGCTGCGTCCCGCCCACCGCGTGTGCCGCCGTGCGGGAGCGGCGCCCTTTCCAGTCTGTGTGAGTCCCCGCTGCACGTGAGGCTGTTTGGCTGCACGTGGGATGCGGGCAGGGCTCGGTGCCGCCTGCCCGGCGGCTGTGGCTGAGGTGTCTGGTGTTGGTTAGAGTTTTGGTTCCGGCAGCTCCCTGGAATCGCTGTCCCCTGGGCCGGCTGGCTGTCCGCGGTCTGAGCGTCGCCCTAGGGTGCGGTGCGGGACCCAGGGGCCCGGTGCCACGCGCCGTTCCGTGGCGAGCAGTGACCAGGTTGTGAGTGACATCTTTGCTGACGTGAGCACCTGCCTTTGAATCGGTTGCTTATATTATTAGTGCTTAGTTTGTGAGTTTGTGTAATACCTGTGTGCATAGCGGTTTCTGTCGGTTCTGTGTCTCGTCACTAAAGGTGTTGTAACAGACACCGGCACCACCTTTCTGGTAACGGCTTTTATGAGACGACTCGCCGAGCGCGCACCCCACCATCTCCCAGGCGCGGCGTCCGCGGCTCCCTCCCACCGCGTGAGCCTTCAGTGCCCACGGACGTTGGCATCAGCCACAGACACGCTGCCCGCGGCCGGCACCCCTGCCCCGCCAGGTCACTCCGTGCTGTCGCTCGCACCTGCCTGTCCTGGACGCTGCAGACACACGGACACGGCCTCAGACAGCCCTGCCTCGGCGTCCGGCTCCTTCCACGGGCACCAAGTGGCCCAGGCTCAGCCACCAGGCTCCCATCGGGCCCCGCGCGGCTTGTCACTGAGGCTACGCCACAGCGTGGACACAGCGTGGACACAGCGTGGTTCCTCATTCAAACAGCAAGCGTCGGCAAAAGGATCTTCTTTAAAAGAGGCTCAGACTACAGGTTTTAGGGGGCACTTGCTGTGGATGGAGCCACGTGTGAGCGAAGGGTCCCAACTGCCTCTCAGCCGTGGGAGCCACTGGAGCCACAGGAGCCGCGGGCGCTGGGCTGCCTCTCCTCTGCGGCACAGGGCTTTCTCTGATGAGCGGGCCTTGTTCCGGCCGGGAGTGCTGTCTGTGTGCAGCTCATGTGCGGGTGGTGGGAGGGGAGGAGGGGGAGGGACAGCAGCGTGACGGAAGTGTCACGGGGCGTCTGCAGGGCAGACCGCCCGAAGCGGGGTGGGCGCTATTTTTACAATGGCTGGACAGGCCTCTGGGCTCCGGTGCATCTGAGTCTTTAGATGTGAATATGGGAGAGAGAGAGACAGAGGGGGTGGGGAGAGAAAGGGAGGAAGAGAGAGAGAGGGGTCCACCAGGCAGAGAGAACAGTGGTGCAGGGTCCCGGGCAGGAGTGGACTGGGCAGGCCAGGACAGAGTGGCCACTGTGGCTGCGGACACAGGAGGGAGTGGGACCCGTGGTTATTTCTAAGAGTTCACGCCCGGGATCACACTGCAGGCGAGTCTGGTTTGCGGCACAGCCACCAGGTGCCGGCCGCCTGGAGGGATCCTTCATCTCCGGAGTCTGCGCCGGGCGGGCAGCCACTGCAGGAGCAGCCTCTCTGCCCGCCGCTGAGCAAGGTGGGGCTGATGTCCACACCGGGCGGAGCTGCTGAGGGCTCTGTGGCCACAGAGAAGACGAGCAAGAACTGGTTGTTACAGCAGCCAGACAGACGCTCTGACAGAAGGCGCCTTGCTGTCCTGCAGCCTCTTACACGAGAGGGGAACAGGCGGTGAAGTTTCCGGGCGGCTGCCCTACTCTGCGCGGCCCGCAACGCCTGTCCGGGCGCCTGCTGACCTCTCCCCACGCGCGTCACTGCGGCTCGGCCCGCCCTCGGCCCGCCCCCTCACGTCCCTGCACAGCGACAGGTGGCACCTGCCCACTGGCTGCGTGGCTGACTTCTGCGGGTTAAAGCTGTAACGGGGTGTCCCCAAATGTGCGCACACGTTAACCACTGATCACTCACTCCATTCCCGCTCCTTTTGGGGTTTAACTGATTTGAAATAAGGGGTGAAGCCAGACGAAGCTTTGACAAAGGAAATTCATCCCGAAGGGCCACTGGCAGCTTTTCATGGGGGAACATAAAAGGCAAAGTGGACGGTACAAAACCAGCAGCAGTCGAATCGAGGCCCACGAACACCGAGCGGAGTGATTCTTGATGTTTGTGATTCCATTGCTTCGTGTTATCAGGAGTGTCTGGGCCAGAACGGTCATCAGTTTGAAAACGGGCTTTGACCAAAAAAGGATTCATTTTTGTAGATTTTGAAAATTAACTGTACGCTAATAAACATCGACTTTAAAATCATTCCAAGAGGGTATACATTTTTGGGACACCCTGTGTATATACACATGCATACTACTTACTACTCACAGTCCCGTACCCATCACTCCGGTCTGTGCCCCGAGCTTTCCCTCACCCCGACGTAAACCTGTTAAACAGGAATCGCGCCCTCTGGTCCCGGCGCCTCCTGGCGGCTCTGACTGGGTGAGCCTCTCCTAGGCTCCTGGGCGGCAGGCCTCCCGCCGTGCTCTCCAGTGCCGCCTGACTTCACGAAGGGGGTGTTTCCCAGACCATCGGAGCCGGCGCCAGCTCTTCCGTCTGGGCCGGACGGTCTTCTGTGGCGTTTGGCACATGGCACGGCACTTGGACATGGGTGTGTGGCTGCTACTTCCAGGGACGAAAGCAGCGTATTATTTTTAAAAATTATTTAACTTACTTATTTTTAAAAGGCTTTATTGTTGAAAGTGTTACATATGCCTCCCTTTCCCCCAAAAGCAGCGTGCTATACAGGCAGGGACATGCGGCTGGGAGGGAGGCTGAGTGTCCAGCTGCTGGGCGGCAGCCTCGGACCCGTGGACAGTGGCCACCCCTATGGTGCCCACAGCTGAGCCAGCTTCCTGTCCACTGCCACCAGTTCTAGTCTCCACGGTCCCTGCGAGCAGGCGAGGCTCCCCGCAGGCGGTGAGAGTGCCGACCTCGGTCCTCACACGTTGCTGGGGCCTCGCCCACCGTGCCCGCTCTGTGCACGGTGCGCCCCTCCGAGGCCGTCAGCCACTCACAGGTGAGGAGCCAGGCTCGGGCAGGCTGGTGGCCTGCCCCGATGACGGGCGGGGAGTGGGCCCGGCGCGGACGAAGGCGAGGCCGCAGTCCGGCTGTCGCTGAGGTCCTGCGCAGGCGAGCTGCCGGCTGGGGGCAGTGGCCCAGCCTTGTCTGTGTCCCCGGCGGTGCCTTCTCTGGCGTGGGAACTGCCGACGGGCCCAGGTTGATGTAAATGGCCTTCAGAGGGTTTATGAGCCTCTCCGCACACTGAGGCTCAGCAGCCTGAGAGGCACCACCAGGAGGACCAGAGGCCCCGTCAGTGTCAGCAGCGGGCTCCACATGTCCGCAGCCCCCTCTGCTCCGAGCCTCTCCCGGCACTGCTTGTTTTCTCATCTCGTCGGAAGGCAGTGATCCATCGGGATCTCTGGAGACTCAGGGCCTCCGGCGCCGCTCAGCGGCCCCACACCAGCCGCCTCGCTGCCTCCCACGCATTCCTCAGGCAGCCTCCCTCCGACCGCTGGCGGCCGGCCGGCCGTCTGGGCGCTGCGCCCCAGGGGCCCTGCAGACGCTGCTGTGCGGGAGCTTCCCGCCTCCTCGCGCTGCCGCTGGTAGGAGGAGGGGGCTCGTCACCTGCAGGCTGGAGGCTGGCCGCTGCGCAGGGCGTGGCTCCGCTGGCACCCCAGCCATGGCGCCCCACTGCCCGGCGCCTTGCACGTGCCCCGGGCGCCCC